AGAGGTTGTATTTAGTACTGGCCAATAGGGCTTTTCTATAAGCGTCAAAAAAGTTGCTTCTGGAAAAAACTGCATGGGATATACGTGACTTTTATTTTTCGTTATATAGTAGCTTAAGTCATGCTGCATGGTATATTCCGTTTATATTAATCATTATATTGAAAAATTAACTCAAAATAGATATATTTTTTATGAAAGAAGTTGATCCACGATTGTTAGGGTTAAAAGTTACCGAGTGGCGAGTGCAAAGTCTTTACATGAATTAGACTTAAGACTTTGAACTGAAAGAGTTTGTGGTTTCTTTTTATATTCTAAATACTGAATCATATTATTATTATTATTATGAACTAAATATAAAATTATACTAAATTTTATATTTAGTTCATAATAATAATATGATTCAGTATTTAGAATGAAAAACGTGTGTGATTTGTACGTAATACCATTAGTACCACAAAAGAATTTTATATTTTTCCTTCTTACAATCTTTGCTTTGTAGTAAGACCCACACTTCTGTTGTTATTGCGTTAGAATTAAAACAGTCTTAACTGATATATATATTTATAATTTATTCTGATATTTTGCAAATGGTTCAAACTCAGTAGTGACAACAATAAAACCCATATGTTTGTTGTGAAACAGGCTAAATACATTCATACAGGGAAGCTATGACATTGCAACATAAATCTTGCCTGTAATGAGAGGAATGTGACCAGGACTAATCTTTTAAGTGCTGTAAAGTAATTTTCTTTGTAATTTATGGTGTCTGTATGGTTTGGTAATCTCTTCTAACATGATGTATCAAGTAACAAGGGGTCAGGCTCAGGAGGTGTTTATTGAAACCACCTGTACTATAAACTGTTACATACATTTGTTAGTAGTGGCAATTGGTTTTGTCTCTATTCTGAAACAACATACAGGGACATATGTTCGCGTGCTCATTTGAACGTTACTGTAGATATCATAGTAAGAAAGCTTTTCGGTACTTGAATATCATTTCTTTGAACTTTCAAACAAGTTTATTTCGGTCACTCTCGTTCAACCGAGCGCGAGCCGTGGGGTCAGCAGCGTGAACTTTGTACGTTGTCCGTAAACTATCTCACCCTTTTTGGTTTTATTCGGCACAATAAACACAAAAGTACGACTGCAATGAAACATAAACATAAATTTGAAATAAAAATATATTTATGAAACAAAATTAAAATGTTTTTATGTACACCTATAAACATGAAATCTTAGTTAAAAATAAAAATACTCATTTATTGTTTAGGTTCATTTACAAATATTATTTACGGGTCTGTATATTACTTGAAACCATAAGAAGTATACGTGATTATTAAAAAAATTAAAAATAGATAACATTTGCATCTTATGGAGGATACAATTTTTTGGGGATTTCAAAATAATGTACTAAAACATTAAAAGTAATAAGTTCAAATCTGTAGCAAATATAAATATTGTAATCATTTCTTATAAATACGATTTCCTAATGTGATTTTCCAAGATATTAAAGATCATAATGCAAAAAAACTAGATTTATTAAAAGTAATAGGCTTTATGTTTCTTAAACTACCTACTTGTCAAAGTATTTATGAATTTTCGAAAATATTCATCCACTAGTTTTATTGTTGGAATGAAATATAGCAAGACTTGCATTGCCTACTAAGAAAGTTAGTAGCTGGTAGTCATTGGGTTAAATCATAACTTTCAGTATCTGATTTCAGTTGAATATATATATAGCATAGTTTCTTTTATATATGAAGGATTTTTCACAGATAGAACTTCAATAATTAATGACATTTTGCTCGAGATGTTTGGGAGAAGCATAACTAATGACAGCCCAATAGAGACCATAAGCATGTACTTCATTACATATGGAAAAATAAATTGTAGAAAAATAAACTCTTTACTTGTCAAAAATGAATTAGAAGTTAATGATAATTGTATGAATTAATTAGGAAGTTGCATTCGGATAAAACCTTTACTTCTAAAGTATTTAATAACAGAGTCGAATCATGAATATTAAAATCATATTTCAGGTGTAATAAAAAATTTTACACAAAGCTACTACAATAGAAACAATGTCTGAAAAACTATTCTTCTGGCATTTCCATAATTATCATTAATATGTTACCTAAAAGCTGTGATAACAACATTTCTATATGGTTCATTATCAAAGCTCTGGGTTTCACAGCCAAAAAACTCAGCTAACTCATGGATCACTTGTCGTTGAGTTTTGTTCATAGATGAGAAAGAATGACTTCTTGATTTATTCTTTGACTGAAACATGAACAAACAATTATTATTGATATATCACATAAGTCTCAGCAACATTCTGTTTGATATTAATAGAAGATATTCAACTTATATTTAAAACATGCCAGCTTGGTGTGCCTATTACTAACAAAGTTGAACATTCTTGAAAATTACTACTGGCCATTGGATACATCACAAGTATCTTGTGATATTTTTACCTGAAATTATTGAGTAACTTTTCAAATAGTTAATGTTTGACAAATGAAACTTATTTTTAACATATGTGCTACATACAATTAAAAGACCAAAGAAAATTAACTATATTTTAACTGATGATACCTTTTGAAAACATTTAGCAGTCAAATTAAATAAGTGAAATATCAAAAATAAAATATAGCTGACACTGCTTTTTTTAATGATTAAACTCAATTCTAATGTAAAGACTACACTCAGCACCAAACATTTACTACATAAATGAGTATTCATTTATGCCAAGGTTTCAAGGACATTCTAGCATCCAATATAAAAATTTTTAGCTTCCAAATACACTGACATTAATTTGGTTATTATTTAGGTACTATAGCAAATTCCTTTTCTTGAGCAAATTGAAAAGAAAAGAAAACAAATCACATATATATATTAACAGAAAATCTGGATTTTCTATACACACCTGTCTAGCTAACTCTACCAGTTCTGTCAGTTTTTCATAAACAATGGTAACAAAAGAGATATTTTTCTTTGTCTCTTCCTTTAGAAAGTTTGAGTAATTGGGAGGACCTGGCTTGCTTGAAAGATCTGGATTACTAATCTGGAGGGCTAAAGCAATTCGGTGGTTTCGTTCTCGTACTGCACACTCTTCATTACACTCTAATCTGTAAAATAATTTGAGATCAATTCATAGCTAGAGGTAAAAAAAAGTATCTACCACCCACCTCTTACATAGATAATAGAAATTCATAAAGATAATTCCAATAAATGTTCAAAATTAGAAACATAACATACTATAATCTGTCATATTTTAATATCATAAACATAACACAGCATTCAAACTTTTCAAGAAGTTAATACTTCACCAATGCTACCTGTTTGTTAAATGGTCAAGTATGGTTAAATGTTTAGTGATTAACTAATAAAATGAATGGGTTAAAAAGACTTGTTAAATACACTGAAAGCAAATGGAATAAAATCTTTGAAAAAATTAACTTGCAAACAAATTCCAGTGACTTATCTACTTTTGTTATTTTATGTGATTTCACAGTGTCAATAATTAACTGTTAGTTATTACAATAACAGGATTTTCACCATGTAGAAGATTACAAACACTAGAAATTATGTAAGTATTTTTGTTAACTAGTAATTCTACTTACCTATGAAGAAACATACCTACTGAATTTGTTAATTTTACTATTTCCATAAAGGTCACTGATGTCTACACTTTGCCCTGACTGAATATCATGCATTTTTGTGGCTAATAATGATGCTGATAATTGTTTGAAACCTATTCCACTGTCTCCACAAGTGTTTTTTTCTTTCCTGAAGCCACATGGACATGTCACTGTAATCTGTGAAGAACAAGTTACTTGTGTTACAAATGATTTGTTACTACACAAGTATAAATGTTTTGTGTAAATGCAATACAATAACATACCTTTATATTCATATATTTTCGTATTACATTTCATAAGCCCAAGATGTGAAGGAAATCTGAAGTTGGAAGTTAAAGCTACAGGTAGCTAAAGGTCAGAGGGCACGTCATTAGGTTTGTAAACTTACCTTCAAAATTTTATTGAACTACTATTTATGAATGAATGTCAATAAACTTGGTATTAAATTGTAGATTTTAATTGAAGTTATAGTATTATACATTAGTTAATTTCTTATCACCACGGGTATCCTTTACTATGCAGACACAAGGTTTTAGTGTCTTACATTCAAGACTTTATTAAATTACTTTTTGTTTATGTTATAACAATTAGAATACCATAAAATCTCAGCTAATAATCCATATTTGAATAGTATATACAAGTTTTAAGTTCTCAATTCTACAAGGGAATATTAAACAAATCTTGAATTTCCACTAGTGTGACCCATGTGACATGACTTCTCTTAGTATGTTATTATTCTATATTCTTTGGTGCATTATTAAATCAAATAAAAATTAAGTGCATTACTATAATTACTATAAAAGATCAGGTTTAAATGTCCTCGACATGTTTTTCATACTTATTCTTTATTTATTATTATAAAAGTAACTAAAATCTAAAAATACGGATCTTTTTAAGTTAAGACTAGATTAGGTAAAATAAGTAATAATAATATAATTAAAATGGTTCACGAGGCATGCACGCTAGCAGCTCATGGGTAATGTAATTCGATAGCGTAACATGAGTTGCACATTCCCTGAGTGATTTACAACTTTTTATGGCACGAATATTAGTTAGACACAGTAAAAAGGGCAATAAAACAATAAAATTTAATTATAAATAGAAGTATAATGTTACAAACTTAGAGCTACTTATGATAAACGAATGCAGTTTCATGTTACAATTTGAATTCATTCTAGAAAGAAAAAAAAAGGGTAATTTAGGTATATTTAATTTTTTTTTTAGTGGTTACGAGGTCAAATTGACCGATCCTGTTTTGAGATAGGGTAGAGAAAATAACAGAGAAGCCATAAAGTTTTACTTAAAAAAAAAGTAAAACGTTTGAAATGCATTTAAGAGGTTTCAGGGATTACACAAAGGAAATTTGAGATTTCTGAGATGA